TTCTCTCAGCAGCCATCTTTGATATTTCAGCTTCCTCCTTCTCAATATCTTCCAGAATGGCCTTTCCGATAATCTCCAAGGCCGCATCCTGTATGACCTGGGTCACCACTTCGATCACTTTTGCTGATAACATCTCCTCCTCGGTTTCCACCTCCAAAGCCGTGATCGGCTGCCTCGGTTCAACAGTTGATAGTTCCTTGATCTTTCTTGCTGCGAAATCCAGTACCGCCTGGCGGAGTTGCTCAGGAGACATGTTCTCGATGTTTTGCTCAATACTCACATCCGCCAAAGTACTAATGAAAACTTCGTCCAGTTCCATTCTCCTATCCCTCTCGCCTTCGAGGATCATTTCGGCGTAAGCTCGGCGCAGGCGAAGATCCCGTTCCTCACTTAAAGGAATAATGTCGGGATTTGCCATTTCTTTTTCCTTCTCGGCCCGACTGAAAAGCCACCCACAAAAATCGATCTCATCCTCATCCGTGGGCACATGCATTGACTTAATTTTGGAAGCTAGCTCGTGTTTCTCCAATCTCCTCAAAAGATAAATCCTCAAATCGTCAACAGTATATAACCCCTCGCCAACTCTCTCGATAAACCACCTTAGACTAACGCAGGTGTTTATTTCAAAATCTGTCGTTGCATCATCATTATCCTGTCCTTCTCCGTTCCCGAGGGATTTCCCAGCTTTTATACCTTCCTCATATTTCAACTCTCCGAACTTCAATTTTTCCTCCTCCAGACGGGCTATATCCTTTTCATGGCCTTCGCGAGCTCGGATCAACATAGATTCTTTCTTAGAGCGGTCAACGCCGGGTTGCTTGGTGCTCGGTACGTTCCTTCAACAACTGCTCATCTTGGCCTTAGCAGTTTGCTCAGCGATGGCGAGTCGGTCTGCCAAGTTTGTCAATTCGATTTCCATACGCTTATTATCTGAGGTCAGTCCAGTGATCTCAGTCTGAGCTATCTTCAATTGGTCGTTCTTCTCGGCAATCGAAGCCATCAAACCCACCTTTTCTTCTTCCAACGATGCTGCCGTACCGGTATGAACTCCCAGCTCTTCCCTCTTTTCGTCCAAATCACTAAGACACTGGCGATAACTGTCCTCATCAGACATCAAACTTACTAAAGCGTGGCCGAGGCACGCCTTAGCTTATCCGAATCTGTGCGATCCAGAGAGCGCCGAAATCCCAGCGTTAATATTCGGATCCCAAGCCTTCAGCGGGATCTGGGTTGCTTCTATCACTGTTCTCAGAAAATGATGCCGATTAGGGAGCTTTGGACCTTCAACTGTTGCAAAATTTGTATACCACTCGTCCACGACATCAGACATTTTCACTGTTTTGGCTCGCTCCTTATCGACTTTCAGATAAGAGCCTTCACCAACCACCAAAGACGTTCTTCTCCCTTGTCCTTCTCCTTTTCCCTTTCTTTTTCCTCCTTTTCCTTTTTTTTCTCCTCGTCTTCCTTCTCTTTTTCTTCTTTCTTTTCTTTCTCCTCCTCTCCACTATCATACCGTTGCTTTGTCCTCCTTTCAACTCCATCCCTCGTAATTTGAGTACGTCTCTTGCTTATCCGCCTCAAGGGGATCTCCTGTTCCCCAACCGCTTCTATACTCACCTCGGTCTCTGATGGCATAACTTCTTTCACCGGCTCTGGATCAGCTTGGTTGATTGCCTCCGCAATGGTCCCGTGAGTCAGAGTCGGAATCACAGCCGCCCGATTTGGCTCGCCTCCCTGAAGTCCTACGTTAGAAGGCGCCCCCACTCCGACGCTAGTAGACGTCCCGGTGACCTTATTTTTCCTCAAAGACCTCACTATATTCCTGCGATCCATCTCGGTAAACCTCGCTTCTTTATGTTTCCCGACTTTAGATCGAAGATCTCGGTTGGGGTGACGGTTACGGTATGTTCGTGCATCCTTTATTGAAGCAAACCCGAAATATCCCAGTAATGGATAGTAAACTATATGCAAAGAAAAAAAAAATAGATTAAATACACTCCGCCTGATCCAGTCTCATTCATACTTCATAGTATCACCAAATATATGCTCTTACCTGGAGTAAACTTTTTCTCGCTAACTCCCGGTGACAAACCTGCTCGTTCAAGTCTGGAATCGTGCACTAGCCGCTTGTAACTCATTTTCGCTTTGTTAAGGTCGAATAACTTCTGTATGTTCAACCCGACTTCGGCACTGAGCTTTGGTTCCTTCTTTAGCGTGGCTACAAGTATCAAAAGGGGCGACCTGTTAGTACAAAAACAGATAAACCCAAAATTAGAATAATCATAGAGCATCAGAATACATTTACTATAAGATGAAGAAAAGCAAGTCGGAATGGTCATCCCGCTGATCAAAGGTTCATTGAAAAAATCAGCTGATTGCCAATCCCCTCCTACCCACAACCATTCCTCTTGAAACCCATGTAAAGTTTCTGGTATCTCGGTGACTAACTCTCCTATCGCTAATCCCGTCTTAGGCTTTCCAGCACAGAAGAAACAGCATAAGGGGTCATATACTTCCCTCTCCGGACTTTTCCTAAAAGTGAAAAGAGCTCTCATATCCGACACAGACGGAAGGCCATATCCCTCCTCATTCAGCAAAACTAATAGACCTGTTATTTTCTTCCAACTATTTGGAGCTATTTGACTAAGGCTCAATTTCCAATCCCGTAATTAATCGGTTACCAAGTTGGGAAGAGGAAATCGTAATCCCGACCTCAGAGACTCAGCAAAAACCCCTAAAACATCCCGGGGGAGGGCAAGTAATCCTTTCTCCGGGATATGGAGCAAACAGCTTAACCGACTCTGGGACCCTAATATTCTCCCGCAATAAAACCACGTCGGCATCAGTAAGAATGTTGGGCTCTCCTAAACCATCATCTCCTGGTTCTGGCTACTGACGCTAAGGACGCCTCCAATAATTTGGAAAATCCTCGATACTTTCCTCAACTATCCGATCACCCTCAGTGTTGTTTCTATCTAGGTTAAGGCGCTCTATGAAGAGTGGATCCCAACGATAATACTCGTGCGCCCAATCAACTTCTTCAGGGATAATAAACTATGTTGATACCGTTCTACTGATATCCTACACTACCTCTTTTTCTTTCATCCTTGATATACTCAAGCCTAAAAATTATTGATAAAAATCGAAAGAAAAATGAAAAAATCAAAAATTGACTTACACGTAATCCGCAAACCCTAGAAGGATGTGCTGATAATCAACGAAGGAATACACAAAGAAGACAAACGGATTGAGATGCAGAAGAGCAAAAAAGCGCAAATCCGAAGAATTTATATGTGAGTAAAACTCATGAAAGAAGAAATCTCCGCTATTTATTCCTCTCGAATTCTAACCGTTGGACCCAGGAAGGGGGCGCGTGTCATATACTCGATCTCTTAATGACGCAACGCTTCAGAATTCTCATTAATATATGCGGACCAATCACGAACCGCCACGTTGACCCTAAAAAATTATCCGTTAATCCTATTCAATACAGACACGTCTTTTCACAGCCGCCACGTCTGCAAAAGACCGTTATGCCGTTTCGCTTTCTCAAAGAATACTGTGAAAAATTCTAAGTGTTGGGACTTCGGATTATGAAGTCAGCTCGAAGTACGCAAGTCTTCAAGTCGGTTTTTCCCATCAACAACAACAACATTAGCGACCATCACCTCTCGTATGCCCGCCAATGCTGGAGGCCTCTCTGTTGACAACCGACTTAAATCACTTCTTAAAATGATCGGAACCTTCCGGGATAACCTAGCCCTAAACGGCCTCGGAGACCTTCTCATCTCGGTTTATGGCAGATCGTTTAACTGACGTCTAAGCAGAAATCCACATGCTTAACTCTTCTATCTACAAACCGAGAACCGACTTAGCTGAATCCTAAAGCTGCTGGTTGAATGCCACTCTGATTGGACCGAGTCTACCCGCATAATCATTACATCTTCCTCGTTGATCGAGCCACCGCATCATGAAGGGAACCTGCATTAAATGCGATCCTATCTACTTCGTACAAAAGACAAAGCTCCCGCGATTATAAATAGGTGAATTCTCTGTAATAAAATGGATCGAACTACCGATATTCAAATATATTATCTCGGTTACGCTACAAAATCAACGTCTTGTATACAAAAGAAAATCTCTTAATATCAATAAAGATAGTTTTTCCTCGCTTTAATTATGTGCTTTATCGTTGTCAAATTTCGCATAACAGGTCTGTTGACTGTCCTCCCATTTTTATTCAGCTATTGGCTGCTTGTATTCAGCCGTTGGCTGATCCTTTCCACATTTGTGCGTAGTTTATAATATATTTATCGTTTGGAAAAAAAAAAAGCCATGTCAAGTCATGGTCGCAAACACTCTTTTATGTTGTGCTTGATTAAATTTTAATGTCTAATTTAAAGATTAAAGTACAATTGAGCTTAAACTAGCCGATTCAAGCTCCAATGATCACGGTATTTTCTTATTAAATGTGTCAATTATTCTAATGATCACGGTATATTTCTTATTAAATGCGTCAAAGCAGAATAAAAATCGAACTTACACAAGTTAAACCCGAGCCTGCATTTCTGCTCCATATGTTAAACAAACCAAACGTCACCTACACAAGATCGAACATAGGGTACTCAACTCAAATAATGTACATTTTCACGTAAATATTGATCCGCACAAGTTTTGACTTGTACAACATTCTGAGTCCCAATTACCAGAGCAAATCGTGGAACCAAGTAAAGATGCAAGCGAACCAACCTAAGAATATAAATGAAATTCCGTAAACTCATAACACGAACACAAATCGTTGAGAACTTACAACAGAGTGAACCCATTGGCGAAAGAAAATAAAAATGAAAATGGTACCATCAAGACATGTAATCAAGGGGGTGTAAACCAATTCCATGTGATGAAATTTACATGGTGGAGAAATTTATATCTACTCAAGCGTTGTACCAGCCGCGAGCAAAGCTAATCATACAAGAAAACAGGACTAAGTTAAAAACCGCTCAGAAGGAGAAGGAACTCAAGAGCGACTCTTCCAGCTCCCGGAAACCTCTGTAGACAGCCTCCGTCTGATTTTGAGGAAGGGGCAACCTACGCACCTCTGTCATGTACCTGATTGAAACAATTGTTAGAATCTCTCATGATTTTGTAGACATAGAAGTAAAAGGTAAGTCGCCAAATTCAATGACAACTAACAAAACTACAGAGGAAACAAAAGGAACAAGTGCCAGACTTCAGTCAGAAGGCATTATTTTTAACCAAAAGATTTATGTTCTAAATTTTACGTTTGGAAAAAAAATAAATAAATAAATAAAACTGCACATACATCTCACTAAGAATCTATGAAGAAACGAGCAGCTGCTAGAAAGATTTAGGGTCCATACAAATGTGACCTATAGGTTCAGCCCAACCACAAAAAAATCCAATTACCTACCACAAGGGAGGGTTGGTAATTTGAAAAGTTTAAATGATTTTTGCTTCATTTTTGGAAAAAATTAACTTTAGGGATTGATTTTCAGCAAAAACTAATGAACCCCACCACGGACGACAAGTTCTGAAGATATAGGAAGGTCACAATATTTGCATCACTAGAACACACCTATTTGCTGCGCTAGTGATCTTATCACGTGCGCCTTGATTTAAAAGAGTAGTTTGGCCCCGCAAATACGGTCCGCCTAGGATCAGAGAAGCCCCAGCTGCACTTGTGCCCATTCCCTGTGCAAACACCGACATGGCCCACTCGCGAAGCACTGTCAGAACTGACCTCAGCAGTCGTAACCTTAAACTTGGAGACGGCAGAATTACTCCGCTCGACAGCAACTGATCGTAGGTGTTGAGCACTGGCTCTATTGCACCCTTACAAGCAGCAACAAGGGCCCTTGCAATATCTTCATCTCCAACGGGCTCGATCCCCGAAACCACTCTCTCCTAGAAAAAATATCACAAATATTAAGTTAAATGTTGTCAAAAGGTTATACAAAGGTTATGATTCAGCTGGTGATAGGATACTGAGGGCCCTGATTGTTCATAAGGTATTTTTCTTAACGCAAAATCTAACTCAATTTTTAACTCAACTCAACCATCATCAATATATCCCTATCGTTTCAAAAAAAAAAAAAAAAAAAAAAAAAAAAAACAATCATCAATACATCAATATAATTAAATAATACAAATTAATCATCCCCACACATCACGCCAACTTTAATTCACTACTCATCCAATCACATAATTTTAACTACTCATCACTTCCAATCACCTCTCTAGTAATTTTTCCTCAAATCAACTTTAATCATTATATTTTAAATATTATTTTAATAAAAACTCAAAATTCAACTCAAACATAACCAAATCAACTTTTTTAAAATTAACTCTAGTTAATCAACAAATCCAACTTTTTCAGAATTAAGAACGCAAATTAAAAGGGGGAGGGATACACCTAAGAAAATTTGGTAGGAAACAATAACAAATGATTTGAAATAATTAAATTTGAATGAGGATATGTATTTTGATAGAGCACGATGCCGACATGTGATCCATATAGCCGACCTCATGTAGTGGGATTTTAACGGCTTGTTGTTGTTGTAACCAACAAATCCAATCAAAATCAAAATACTTATACCTAATCACCCCCTAAGAATCTTGTATTATAGTTCTCCTAGAGAATTATTATTTTACACAAATGTGATCGACAGATAAAAAAATTCAAATAGCATAAGTATGTAAATACTCACCCACTTTAGTCAATTCACTGTTTTTGTTCATCTATGGCAAGTCAACTCTCAACAGCATATTTTCATATCATAACCAAATAACAACCTAAAAATCCTTTTTTTGTTTCAAAAATCCTTTATTCACAATTCTCTTGTAGAAAAGCGCACTTCTAAAATGGAATAGCATGTCCAAATCTCGATTTGAATATTTTTACCTGAGCAGCCTTCTCAAGGTGAAGGCATAGTGTCTCCAAGGGTAAAACAGCTCCATCCCCAGGAAAAACATGAGAACCAACCCTCTTCAGTACTACACAAGCTTCAGCAATACCGCCTCTCGTGAGAGCCTGATCAATGAGCCTAGCCCAAATCTCTCTAACAATACTGCTGTCAGCATCACCAGAATAGCTTGCAAAGTATAACATTTCCAGGCATATCTGAAGGCAAAAAGTAACTCATCATGGAAGGATCTTTTAGCGTTGTTCATAGAACAGATAAAACAAAAATACATAGTACTTATTAACAGCACATCTGATATTTGAAAAGTATTGTAGGCTACAGGGAACATGCTACTAATAATGTATCTAACTCATCAAAAATTAATAAGATAACATATTTCTTATATGTAGCTCCAATAGTTTACATTTGGTGAAGCCGCACAAGTTTGAATTTTGATACAATAGTAAATATCGAATCTGGATCACTTCTTTAATCACATTATCTCCGACAATGGGAATTTCTTGGTTAGTCCCTACTCTCTAACATGAATGGATTAACCATGTTTACTTGCATACATTGTATAGCATAAATTAAAGTTCAGCTCTACCAGCAAGAGGTTAACTAAGCCAAAGCAGTAAGATATTTTGTCCAGTTCCAATTACAGTAAAAAAACAAAATCACATCATATAAATATCACGTAATTCACCATGAAACCATCGCTAATGGGCACTAATGTAATAGACACCTTAAATGAAAACATGGTAATGTATACTTCTGTAAATATCATAAACAATGCAAGATTCTGGGCCCGAGATTCATGAATACCGTTGAATGTGGAGATTATGGAGGGACTCATTGACTCAATTGGAAAGACATTTCCATTTTCTGGTCGATTTGATTTGACAATCTAAGAAGTTTCCTTGCAAAGTTGGTCTATTTAAAGAGGTTGTCAGATTTGATTTCGACCCTTTTCAATTGCACTGTTTTGCAACCTCTGTTTAAAGACGATGTCTTTCAGTAATAAACATAAGCATGGGTTGAGAGAGAGTAGAAGGAAAACTCAATTAAATTTTGTTTTTGTCCTCTCTCTATTCCTATTTCTTGTGGTTGCGAGTTTACGCGTACATTTGCCAGAAAACAAAATACATAGCGACTATTTTACACTTGTACAACAAAAGTTTGTCGATTAAACCTACAAGTCCACAAAATTTTGTGTATTTCTTGTCACTTTTTTCGATTAAATCTACAAGTACACAAAATTTTGTGTATTTCTTGTCACTTTTTACTACTTTGATTCTGACTGACTGAGAAAGTACTCATCATACAGTTAATAAATCCAGTCCTACCAATTGAAATAACATATGATATTATGATCTCAGAGTGCATGACTAACTGAAAGTGAAACAAGGGGTTCATCTAGAGAGTGACCACTATACTATAAACGAATCAGCTCAAGCTCAACATTTATCCAAAGCATGCCTCGTATCAATTTTCACAAGCTTACAAGCATAAAAGCAACACAAATTGACTTTTCTGTGTAGTAATCCACATCTAAAGGAAATTTAAAAAACTAGTATTCAATGCAATGGGCAAGACATGGAAAATACATTTATCAAGTCAAAACAACAATCTCTTTCTTTCTTTATTTTAATGGGTCAAGTGAGGACACACAGATTAAAGTCCCACCTAACTAGGCCAGAAAGGGAGAGGCAATTAATCAGATCCACGCTATGGAAGAAAAAACCATGATATCTAATCAACAAATTTCCCAATGTTATTATAATACAATATGAATACCACCTATCAGAAATCAGAAATTCTCAAACAATCTAAGATACGAAGGGTAATATCATTTTCAAAACAGACAGCCATGTAAAGCATGCACTATTATCACCAAACACGGGATGGAGTTAAGAGTATAACATCACAAGAGTACAGTAGAATAACAAACCTCCCAGAGTTCAAAAGGAACGGCATAGTCATTGTATAATTGAGTGATGGTCTTTAAATCTACTGATAACTCCTTTGTTTTTTCTCGAACAGCATCAACAAAATTGGCATCAGCAACGTAACCATTATCAGGTGATGAGCCATTTGCATTTGATTCAGATCTTTCAGGAGAAGCTTCCAATTTTGAAGTCAAGTTCTCCAGTTCTTCCTTGATCTTCATCTGAAATTGAAGAACAGCAAGCTTCCCTTCAAGTAAATCAAGAAGCCCATTATCAATAGCACCCCGAACAGAAGCATTCAGACTGTCCCCCTCATTGGCACTCTTTGCCTGCAGAACAGCATTACTCAAGTATTGACGCCTGGCATCGAACAAACACAGGTCAGACAAACTGTTAGCTTAAAATAGCAAAATATAAATAACATAAAATTCCATCTATATCCACCAACAATAAATAAATACTCATATCTATGCCAGCAGAGAATTAGAAAATTAAATCATGTGAACAACATAAATTATTGACTACAATGTTTAGCCAGACAAATATCAAACTGCAGAGATATCTATCTAGAGACAAAAGTTATTTAAACCAACTCGTACTACATATCTACACCACATTAATTTAATATGAGAATTTTACTAAAGGAGGAACCTTTGTTCAAGTGTCGGAGTATTTCCAGCTTCAGTTGAACGTCTTTCAGCTAGCCTCACTAATATTTGAGCAGCAAGAACATGTTGACGCTTCAAAACATAGTATCGTGCCAGAAGCTCAAAGTACTTTATCTGATTTGATGCAACAGGGCCCCTAGAATGCCCAAAGGGCATGATTGGCGATGCAACAGAAGAAATAGCACGGACCTACGACAAATTAAGGAGTCAATAACTAAAGATAAAATGCTTCTGGTTAAGGAAAAAAAAAAGAACCAATAACCAAAGGTGAAATGCTTCAGGTCCAAACACATTGTATTTTCCAAAGAGGGCAATCTTTTAAACCATTAGAATTTCCTATTATGATTCCTATATTAAGTGAAGTTCAATAAAAATCAATTCTACTTTATTATCTAAACCAAGTCAAGCATACAAATAACATTATATAAGCATAAAAATCAACCTCATTTGTAGGGTCACGACCAGCATTTTGCAAAAAAGGAACCAAATCTGGACCACCATACTCCAACAACTCATCATCAAGGCCTAGATCAATTAATGTTCGATACAGATACTCGTGAAAAACTCTATCTGAAGATTGAACACCGAGATGAATTATCTGGCATATGTACTTTTTGCGAGAGGCTTGATCAAGAACAGATTGGACAGCTGGCCTGATAGGAGACCCAAATTCCTTTTGCAAAGTGCCACCCTTCAGAGAGCGCAAAGCATTAGTAACAATTTCATAACACTGCATACGTCGAGAAAGGGCGTGATCACGGATCCCAGCATCTATTTGATCATTGAAAGCATCACCAGCAGGATCAACAGCCTGGGCTTTTTGCAGAGGTAAACGAACTACAGCTTCATAGAATCTGCAATATCACAATAACTTCATGCTTAACCAAATAGTATCAATGATAATTGATATTTCTTAAACCGAGTAACTTCACCAACCTCAGATCTTCAAAACGCTTACAAACAGTTTGCAAATCAGCAGATTCAGGAATTTTACTTAAATTGTTGTAAGCTTCCCTAGCCAAATTTTCCCTTTCTTCAACATCAGATGTAGAAGCAGCTCTCTCCAGGAATTCCACAGCAACATAAAATTTGTAATCACTCTCTTTGTAATAGCTCGGACAACCCTCACCCAGTCTATGACTAATGTCATCCACAGTTCCCCTGCCATCAGGACCAGTGTAATACTGGATAAATGGATGATAAGTGATGTGAGATTAAAGTTTATAAAGGAGCACTGGCATTGTGAAAAATGGTAAGGAAATATATTACATGTTATTATGTTAACAACAAAGAGAGAGAGAGAGAGAGAGAGAGAGAGAGAAAGAGTAAAAAAAGTCTTTACAAGCAAGTTAGATGACAGTGGCCAGTGAAGTATTTAATACCTCCATTAAAGCAGATATAAGCCTTGTTGCTAGTCGATCTCCTTCTTCTGAACAAACTAATTGGTGGAATGTTAACTGAACTATAGCTTGACGAGTAGTCGCATCAAAACTTTGAGTCAAGCGTGCCATGAGATGTTGTGATAGAAGTTGCAGTAAGAAGAGAGCTTCCCCACATCTAAGAAGCAACTGCCTGATACACTCCATAGCCCTCACCTGGAAAATAAAAGAGTTATTTATCAACTAATACAGCTCAGCATGTCAACACATGAACGAGTCCCAAATGTTCACAATACCTCCATGGCAGCTAGTTCGGATGGACTATAAAGAAGTCGTTGTCTCTTGTTTGATGATCCAACCTCAGCTGAATCAATATTACGGGAGTATGAACCAAAAAGATTCCTCACCATACTTCTGTCCCCTGCAACTAGATCACTTCCAATCAAAATTGAACCAGTTACATCTCCCATGCCGGCCACACACCCATAGAGCCCACGCCTTTGATTCCTTCTAGACCTCAAAAACTTCTCCAGAGAGCGAATCTTGTCCTCGAGAACATGCATAGCCCCGACTGAGAGCCTGCATGTTATGATCCCATCTTCTGACATAGCATCCGAAGATCCTGAACCGCCTCTGATGATAAAAACAGGAAGCTCCCAAACTGGTAAAAGTAACCTCGACGAGCACAGGCAGAGCCCTTCATGAGCACCCGAAAATACAGGCTCAGCTTCTTGAACAACCTGACCCATGCTGAATCCGCCGGCTGCAGACCTTGTGTTGGACAATGCGCCACTGCCCTCAAACTGCGGAACTCCAACAACTCTGGGGTCCTCAAAAGCTTCAGCTGCCTTCTCAGTCACAACATTGCTTATGAAGGTTTCAGTGTTTGCTATACGTGCAGCAAGCATCAAGCACATTGCGGCCGCCTCTCCAGCACCAAAACGGTTAAAGAAGTCTTCAAGAAGTGATCTTGGTGAGTTAGACTCCAGTAGTCGTCTCAGAATGTCAATAGGTCTATTGAAAACTACTTCCATCATACCCATGGTACTGAATATGACTATCTTCCTTCGTGGTAATATATGTTGAGTAGATAGATCACCTCTAGCCCAAAGTTTACTGGAAGTCTTTTCACAGGACTCCCATGAGCTACAAAATCTGCAAAGTTCTAGTTCTGAATATAGAGACTGCACTACTGAAGCTGTGTCCGAAAGGGGCAAAACATCTGCCACGAAAAGCATTCTGCCTTCCACGGGAAGAGACAACACTGATTCTCTGAGGGCGCGAGCACTCCTTAAAACAGCTCCCGAGCCAGCAGATGAGAGAGATTGGGTTGTAGGATCCCTGGTCACGATCAAAAGTGACGACACAGCAGATGGAGATGTGTCAGAAAGGACAAGAGTCCCAGAAGAATAATAGGCTGACTCAATTTTCAGAGATAGATCATCGCTCTGGGATCTTCCAGCAAGAGACAGGGCTCCAAAAGCAAGCCCACCACTCACCCCTATAGGAGGAGATGGCCTTGTCGTCACAACCTTCAAGCAACTTGGCCCCCGGTTACCAAGACCACCAAAACCTCCAGCAGCCCCACCACTTCCACCAGTAGTGGTAGTGGAAAGGTACATTCTTCGCCCATCTGACAGAACGGCAACGAGATGCAACCACTTTGATTCTAACATAGATAAAGGTGATATAGAAACTATAGAAGGCTTTGTTGGACGAGAAGGGGCCCTTGACCCTGCTTGTTGTCTGGACCCATAGTTTGCCTCCCTCTGAGGGATCAAGTTTCTCTCTTCTGCCACCTTCTTCAGCGGGCCATCTCCATTCGGCCCAAGAGAGAACACTTGAATTTTCATCTCCTCTGTACGTGCGTATAAAATATGTCTCTCCGAATCAACAACCATTTCAACAATTGGGTCCATGGCTCCAAATTTGAAAACATTAGGCACAACCCACCTGGAGAGAGAGAGAGAGAGAGAGAGAGAGAGAGAGAGAGAGATGGAGAGTGAACAAATTAACCTACTGAACATGTTAAAGTTAAGGCACAAGTAAGATTCAGATTTGATATCAATGTTTCTCAACAGCAACCAGAAAATCTCACATTTCCATTGGATTAGAAAAGTGACATTAATCGGTAAGCTGCATCCGCCAGAAGAAAGTCATTGACGTTTTTGGAGGGAAAAGAAAACAGTCTAACACTTCAACACGGCCGTCAATGAGAAACGAAGAAACACAGAAAATGAGAAATTACCTCGAGATAACACTACCAAGACCAGCAGTTAAGCAAACTTTACGACAGCGCTTTTGCCAACCTGAACCAGTCGTATATTGCAGTTCATAAACATGGCCATCTCGGCCAGCCAGAAATATGAGACCCTTATCAGTGCAGGTGATGCATGTCATGGTGACTCCATCAGATGGAATGGTATATTCTGGCAATGGCTGAAGAGAAACCTCTGCGTACGGGTCGGTTTCATCACCTCTTGCAGAACAACATACTCCAACTAGGATCAGCTGATTGACAGAAAGTGTTCTTGTAAGATGAAACAAAAACAAAAAGTTCTATAAATTGGAAGCAACTAAAACATGTTCAATAAGGATGGGGAAAAAGTAACGAGAAATAAGACACTTTGGCCATATTCATACAAGAAATGTAACACAGGACTCCCTTTCAAGTTGCACGATTAAGCACAATCTCACGGGCATAAGATAAGATATATCTTAACTGTTCACATTGAGAGAGTCTGCAGAGACAAAAAATTCAACATTTTGGGTTTTGTTGCAAAGAAGAAGAAAAAGTGGAACGGGAGAGATGGATATGCGAATGGAATTTATCATTAATTGGAAACAAAATAAGAAAAAAGGAACTTTAACGAGGTTTAAATAACACAATTACAAGAACTTATATACTCTCTGAAATTTATACACCTTGAACATCAACATGTGATAGTATTAGACACTAAAAATATTCAATAAAAATAATATAATGGGAAAAACGTTCCTCAGAAGCAAATGCAGCCAGCTTTAGAACTAATCTAACAACAGTACACCTACTCAAATCATTAAACCAATTGCAGAAACCTTAACAAATCTCAATAACTCGCTTCAAACACCAAATCTTTGTGTAACTGAAACAAGGAAAGAAAAATGTAAATGATAAAGAGTATGGATTAACAGGTATCTATTTTCAGGTTCAGCAGTTAAGATATCAGGACAAAATGCCAGGCATCTATATGAGAAGTCCAATAGCCAAAAGTGTCAGTAGGTTAGGACTTACCCTCTCAAAACAAATAAATAAATGAATAAATAAAAGAGCACAAGGAACTGAGCAACGAGAATCTCGAAAACCCAACTGCATTTATTCATTACTGCTTTGAGTGAATCATATAGCATTCCTCTAGTAGAAAGCCATCACATAATACAATCACTAAATCATCTAAGCCTCAAGTTTGACCCCCTCCAGGCACTCCTTTGCATTGCACAATATGGGGAAGGAAAAAAAAAATATTTTTCAGAAAGTAGCAAATGTTGGTTGCCATATCCCTAATTAAATATACAGCATAATTTAGTGGAAATGTAAAAGAGGAAATATACAACATAATTTAGTGGAAACATTCAAGAGGGAATAACGAAACACTACTATCACCTCATAGCACCGGTGATGCGTGAATGATGTAGTGAGATTAAATTACCTCAACAGGAGTTGCCAACACAAGAAGATACTGGATGGCTTCAACAAAAACACCAGGTTTGGCTTTTGCCAAACCAACAGCACAAATTGCTTGTTCTTCCCCACTATATTCGGGACATTGACCATCGCTGCAAGACAACCATAATGCGATGAAATAACGGATAAATAGTATTTTCTTCACAAATAGAAAACTAAAAGATTGGTTCAAGCGAACAGAAAGTACTTAATCCAAATTTGAATTGAATCTAATCAATGTAAAAAAAAATGGAGGAACTTAGTTACATAAATTAAATGCAAAAAGAGAAAACCATTAATGTTTCAGGAAAAATGGGCTTTGATTTATTCGCATCACAAATATTAAAGAATGACTAAAGACATAGTAAAACATGCTAATAAGATTATATTTGGAATAATCAAAAATTATACCAAAAATAGAAGCACAAGGTGGGATTCTTTCACTATCAGCTGAAAAGGATGAAGTGCATAATCGAGCATGAACAATAATCCTTTGTTGTAGAAACAAAGTTGCTCCAGTTTTTCACTTACTCGTATGGTTTGCTAAATATTTGGTAGCAATAATTCAGAAATGGTACTCTACAGCCTACAAGTGTAAATGCAATACTATATAGTGACACTAAAGACTAGCTACAAAACAAATGTAAATTGAACAATGTTGGAGAACATATCAGCATCTCAGGGTTAACAACAAATTCGTTTGTCTCTTATTAGTAATTGTTCTGGAGTACAAGAGTTATGGTTAACAGCTATCAACAAAACCAACTTGTACCACTTATCAAATCGCCAAAGAAATAAGGAGTTATCGACTGATGCCCACGCCCTTCGTATTTCTGGAAAAATACCACATAAAGCTGTTCCTTCTCCACCAGCTGCATTATATCTTTCAATCAACACAGGAGGCAACTCCCAATTGTCCAAAACTTCAACCAAAGGAGGCCACTGCAATGCAGATATGGTAGGGTAGGATTGAATAAGTTCCTTAATAAATGGGCAATCATCTCTACAAAGACTTTACAAAAAGTTATCACACCTCATGCTATTACGGCAAATTAGAAAATAAAAGTAGAACCATACAGTGCCAGATATGAAAGATCACTGTAATACAAATTAAGCACCACACTCTGATACATAAACATTCTCAGGAGAATTCATATCGAAACAGTACATTGTTAAATTATTACAATTAGAGTATTACTAAGTTGTCATCTTACAATCCTTGTGTGACATGCTAAAAGTTACTAGCCATGTTGCTGACATTCAGCCACTTGATTCGACTATGGAAGGTGTAGATTCACATTTATTGCAAGTATACAAATAAAACCAAAGAAACAAGCAATTCAATTATTGCAGTATATCATACATCCCGCAATTAAAAGGGATGATATCTTCAGCTGCATGTTAGAATTATGATGGCCAACAAAGGATCTTCTGCCCCTACCCACATCACGATGTATAAAGCTGTCCTCAAATTTACCACACAGTCACTCACAATGCATTGCAAAGCTCTATTATCTTGAATTTCCAAAAGAAGTAACGGACAACAAATGAATGAGATTGAAAAGATGTGTTTGTCTTGAGAAGATGTTTGTCTGAGCTAATCCAAAAGCTTAAATGTCATATAAGATGTTTCTAGGCTCATTCATGTCTTATTTTAAAAATAAATTGATCTGTAATGAAGCAAAGGTTCGAATTTATAGGATGTTAAGGATAAAAACAAAGGAATATAAGCTCGGGTGGGGGTTATATTTTGTTAAGTAGCCTATAAGCTCTTAAAGAGCTTATTTTACATCCTACAAGCTATTGTAAGAAAAATAGCCAAACAAATATTATGACCTTATAACCTTTAAGCGTCTCAGAAGATGCTATGAAGAGCATGCAAGCTCTGCCACACAAACTCAGAAATCTTATTTCTCCAACAATTCAGAGACAAGTAAATATAATCTTTCTGTTTCACATGAATAACCCCAATTCACATATAGTGTTTTCCTTCATTCATGGTAATGTATCCTCACTGCAGGTTGAAGATGAAGGAGATAAATGTCAGCAAAGTTTCGCTTCACCAATTTTTTTTCAACTACAGGAAACAATATGAATAAATGGCAGCAAAATATGAAATAATATAACTGAAGGACTATTCACTCCTTTTGCAGACAACAGTGTCCATATGTGTCACTGACAGTATCCAGCAAACCGAACAACTGGTACCATTACTGCAAACTCTCCTCTCTTTCTACTAACATATATAAAAATGCCAATAGCAGAAGTATAAAGCTAAACAGCTTTCTCAGATAACTGCATGGCAATCACTCGGCAACCCCTTATAAAAAGCCCACTTTGCTATACAATACTTACCAAAAGTTTCAAAACCTCTTGTATGGCCTTATGAGCAATTTAACATTAAGAGGATTCAAAGGTGTCAAAGTTCTAAACTCCTTTTGTTCCCTATAAGTTAAGCAACCAAAACATTAGGTGAAAAGGCATATAATAATGCCTGAAGAGAAACTCAAACAGTGTAATAGATTACTTTTACATCACTATAATGCAGCAACAAATCTTGCATTAAGCAATCAAAGGTCTTGTCATAGTAACTCAATGTCTGTATCCAAAAGGTCAAATGATAAAATCAGCACACATATTCAAGGCACTTTCAAGGGAAACAAACTTATAGATTTCCACTCCAACATGTACAGCCATTACCAGAGTTACCTGTCAACATTTGCATTTGCCCAGGTACAATAAATAGATCATCTCATGTTTGCTTCTATATCCAAGTTTTCTGTCATCATGAATTTTCCTTCATGAGTTTACTACTGCCAATGAACTTCATAAAGGGGTGAATATACTTATTCCCCATTTTCAGGCATCTTTTTTCGTTGCACAATAACAATTGCTAAATTGGCAACACTGATAAATGCTACTTCCTAATGTTACATCCATTTCCACCACAATCCTCCCATATTTTCAGTAACATGAATGCAGGCCATGACTACCTGAATCATGACTACCTTAAAATGTGCAATCTTTTCTTTCTTCTTCAGCACCATAACGTGGTGAAATCAAGTGATGAAATCTAAAAACGATCCCACTAGTCCAAAATCCGTATTTACTCGTGTTCTCCCAGAACTAACAAAGCACTTCACAACTCTTAAGAAAAAAAAAAATGGATGAAGATGAAGAAAAGGAATGAAATCTGATGGAACAAGTTATCAAAGGATGCATCACCGTAATCCATTGGTATGCACCTGAAAGTGCACTATATAGTAACCCCAACCAAGCATTGAAAAAATAAAAAATAAAAGGGTGCTCAAGAAATTAAGATATTCAGTCAAATTAAACACACAAATGAAATACCTATAAAATTACCTCGCGCGGATGGGTTGAGTAAGGATGGCTGGAGTATCTCGAAGCCTCTAAAGCTTCTTCAAGGTCGAGCTGCCCCGCAATTTCCCGGCCAATGCGATCGCTGACAACGAGACCCGCATTGGTGACGTCACGCATTACTACTTCATTCTCCCAAGCAACCATCTTTAAGTAAGATTTTAAAAATAAAAACCTGGATAATGAACCCCTTTTATTGCTTGATTACTTGCTAGGACTCACAGTCCTGGTGAAGATAAACCAAAACCTAGGGCCTGAATTAAGACCGAAAAATTCAAGCCCTAGTTTGAAATTATACGGGAATAATGTGGAGGGCAGAGCGACATTCAAGTCGACACTAAAGTTTTTTTTTTATGACAGATAAATTGTGGAGAGATTCAGATTTTCCAATTGGAGAGGTTTTGGAGGGATTTGTGAATTAGGGTTTTGGCGTTGGCGAATGAAGCTGCAAATTAAAAATTGCTTCAAACTTTTTTAAAAAACTTTATTTTAAACTAGTCGTGGTCTTTTTTAATGTTGAATATTAAATTTAATAGACTTGGTATATATGTAACAAATGCAAATCAGTTGAACAAATTAAAAAATTCATAAAATATTGAATACTAGTACAACACCTGTGTATTATACGGGTGCTTGCTAATTTTTTTCTTAAAATCTAAAATTAATGAGAAAAAAGTAGTTGGATTTTAAATATATTTTACAAAAATATATATATTATTATATATTTAGTATGACACTTTTTATTTGCGACTTATTTGTGTCATATTATAATAATTTTTTAACTTACAACATATTACTACATTAAATATAAATATATCAATTGATAAATAATTTTATTTTTCTAATGAATTTTAATAAATATTATTATTCTTTATTATTATAATGATAAATATAATTTATTTATTTCATATATACAATATGGATGTCAAATCGAAGATCATCAAAAGATGATTAATTTGATATATAATATATGTAAAACCGATAAGAAATACAAAACTTATCAACTTTTAAAATACATTTACTATTTAATAGCTAATTGAAGGAAACAAATCAAAGTTAGGGATATATTAGTCACTTAGTGCTTCACTATATAAAATTACAAATAATTAAAGGGTTATATTAGTACAAGTGATATTAAAATACCTAAGTTAGATAAATAATATTTATGGAATGTCCGAACCTATATTATTAATTATTAATATATCAATATTATTTGTCCAAACCTAATTACAAAGCATGATTCTTCGCCAAGTAGGATTACGAAGCACCAGAATCAGCCACGCAGGCTCAGCGCATTCGAGAATTATATATAGGGAGGGATTTTCTTGTAAACAACGTTGTGGTTTGATTTTGTGGGGAGTCATCGTCACCACAGACTAATAATTTAAATAATTTTAGCATATGGATTTGATAATAATAAATAACAAAAAAAAATATTTGCCGCTTCATCATTTAAATTTATTTCCAACTACATGGTTTCGAATTTTCTCTCAAATATACAAACAACCTTCAATGTCAAGTATAACTTGTTTTTTGGGGAAACCGAATTAAAAAAAAAATTACTAAACGAGCGGCATAGTGATATGTAGGCATGGCAATGGGGCAGGTCGGGCCGGGTAGTTCGTGTTGGAGTAGTATACCCGGCGTTCCAATCAGATTGGACGTATTCTACTTGTAAATACAATCTATTGGAATTATATTAAAAAATAAGGCATTACTTTATTTTAAGAGTAAGCATTTATATTTGCACTTAAGATAAAATTCCTAGATCATTTATAGCTATAAGATATGGTTGCGCATAGAGATGGTGATCATGGAACATATCTTGAAAGCTGTGATCTTAAATAAAGTTCCAAGTCGTTGGATGTTTCGAGATGGGATATCGACTAAATCCGGAAAAGACTTGTACATAGTATGTATGCTTATTGGGTAAGAATGTTGCATTCCATCAACATTAGCGTGGGACGCAAATACATATATATGTAGGGATGAAAACGGTCGGGAACGGTCGGAAAAACCCCAAAACCATTCCCTTTCCCGTATTTTTTTACCGGGAACGGGATCGGAAACGGTTGAGCCAGACGGGAAAACGCAATCGATATTACGGGATATCGGGAACGAAAGAGTTCGATCGGGAACTAGCCGATTACGGTCGAGAATCGGAAACACTATACGGTATAATACATGTAACAACTTCAAACATTAAGCACGAAAAGATAATTCCAGCTATGCATAAGCGAACACCAAGTTCTAACATACGACAACAACAACGTCCAACATGGCAACATATAACATTCTAGCGACCGGCGTTGTGGCAGTTCACGACGAACCACGGACGGGCTGGGACCAGCGACCAGCGGCAGCCGACATGATGTGGGGCGAGCGGCGAGGTCCGGCCAGCGGCCACCGAGGCTCCGAGCTGGCGAGCTTGGCGGGGGTGTTATGAATGGGGTGGAGATTGGCTATGGTGACTGGTGTGGCATTAGGCGAAGGAAATGGTGACCATACGATCGAAGAAGAAGGAAAGGCAGCATATTTTGGGGAAAAAAAGTTAGGGTCTGCTAGGAAGATTGAAGAATCCGTTCAATTGGGTACTAGATCGATTTTAACTATGTTAGTAGGCTTAAGCATGTGTTTGGGTTGGACTTATATTATTTAGTAAGTTGGGTTTTTATGTTTTGGGCCAATTAGTAGTAAAAGCCCCATTAGTTATGTATTAGGTATTCTCTAGTTTGTTTGGGCCACTGTAATATACGGGAATACCGCGGGAATTTTCCCGCCCAAATACGGGATCCGCGAATACGGTCGGGAAACACCCCTTCCCGAATTCGTTCCCGTTCATGTTCCCATTTTTTTTTCCTGTTCCCGTTTCCTATTTTTTCCTGCCAAAACAGAATACG